CGACTTTTGGAAAAAAGGCAGATTTCAGCTCTCATAGTCTAATATTTTGTTATTTCTTATCTTAAAAAAGATCGAATGGACCGCTTGTTTGACTTATAACATCATCGGCTTACTTTTCAATCTAAGTGATTTCACAATGTTAAAGAGTTGTTCTTTTTTTTTCCCCTTTTAATATTGTTACTCATTTGAAATTGTGGCGTTTCCATTTGGGTTTCAGTTCAGAAGCCAAGGGAACAGGTTGCAGATGCAGAAGCTTTGCAAGATATTGCAAACTCCCTCGTGACATCTATAAGGTCGCAGTCAAATGAAGGTGTTACTCCATCGGATTTTGTTAGTTGTCTGCTCAGAGAGTTTGCCCAGATTGGCAATGGAGTAACTTCTGAAGAAAATGATATGGTTTCTGTCAGTTGGAAAGATATTGGGCGTGGTGTTTCATCTATTTTCATGAATGGCCATGGATGCTGCACCATGTGAGATTCATGGATTCCTTTTTCTCACTAACCTGATGCTAAAGTGTCTTCAATGGATGTTTTGGGTCAATTATGTAACTTTCTTTGTCTTGTGTTTTTTTTTCAAGGCTTGGACCTATGAGCACTCAGTTGAAACAGCGAAAGACTAATAATATTTCCAGGAAACGTTCCAAGCCTACTGAAAGTTCGAGACCTGCAGAGGTTAGGCCGTAAAGATTTGGATATTGAAAGACCAGTTTGATAACAATTTTGTTTTTTTGTTTCTTGTTTCTAAAAATTAAGTTTAGAAACACTATTTCTTCTTATGTGTTTGTTTGCTTTGTTATCTACATTTTAGTAACATTTTCAAAATCTAAGTTAAACTTGGAAAAAAAAATTTGTTTTTGTTTTTGAATATTTGCTAAGGATTCAAATATGTTTTTAAGGTAAAAAACATAATAAAAAATAAACATAATTTTTTAAAACAGAAAACTAAAAAGTTTTAAAAAACTAAAAATGGAATAGATATCAAACAAGACCTAAATATTTTAGGATTGAGTCATCTCTCACTCTGTTCTAAGCTTTGTTAACTTGTTGGTTGAACCTATACAAGGTGTTTGCTATAAATCATTGAACTTGCTAGTGTTAAAGCTGGATCTTACAGAATTTGCTTGGAGTCACTCTTCAAGGCTTGCTTGGCTACTGCTGTGGATATTCTTTACTCATGTCTATAACTTTGTTCTATTTGCTTAAGTGGTTTGAATTAGATTGCACTTTATTTTTGTTTCTTATGAACTTGATATTTTATCATCACACTGGTGCTAGCATGTTCATAATTTTAATTCATAACTGCAGGTTGAAGAAAATGGATCTGAAAAAAAAACTGATACAGACAAGAACATGAGCATAATGTTTGTAGCTTTGAGGAGGAATAAAAGGGTTAAACTTGAACATTTGATATTGAATAGAAGGTCTTTTGCACAGACAGTAGAAAACTTGTTTGCTCTATCATTTCTCGTTAAGGATGGTCGGGCTGAGATAACTATCGATAAAAATGGCTCTCATTTTGTGTGTGAGTAAACATCTACAAAACTTTCTATACTTTTGTTCGAATGCATTGTGTTATTTGCATTATCCTTACATTTTCTTTCAAAATTTTCAGCACCAAAGAATGCCCCTGCCCACAGTTCCATTATGTCACATGAAGTTAGTTACAGTCATTTTGTATTCAGATTCGATTTCAAAGACTGGAAGGTACAAAAAACTTTTAACTTGGCACTTTGCAGTATCATGTAACAGAGTTTAAATATTACTAAAAATATTATGCCCTCTTGATTAATGTATACAAAATTGGCTAGAAGCTTATAGTATATGTCATGTTGTATACTCTTTTAGATCTTTGGCTTCAATTGAGGAACACATACTTGTGATATTTATTTGCAGCTAATGGCGAGCAAGGTACCAGTTGGAGAGGAGTTGATGCCTCACAGGGACTTTCTGAACTCAGCACCGCCACCGCAAGCAGAAGCATCAGCAGGCGATGATTCTGAAGCAGTGGGCTTACCCACTACTCCAATCCGGAAGCTGTCGAGAAATCGAGGTTTAGTCGTGCAATCTGTGGTTGAAGATTCTCCTGACAATGACACTCATTCAGGACCAACTGCAATTTTGAGGTGTAAGAGGAAGCTCAGTCAAGGTTTGGTAAATTAGAACTTGGAAAACTCACCAGATGTGAAGAATGCTTCTTTCCTCTCATTGTTCTGTTGGTTGTATATTTATCGGCTGCATTGTAAATAGGTCATTACTGATTAGGTTCTCAGAGAACGATAATTTGGCAATTTGAGTTTTCTAACAGGGTTTTGTTAAAGGATGTTTGGGGAGTAGCTGTGAGAGTGCCTGGGTAGCTTAGATCAAGCTCCAATTATTTTGTAAAGGTCCTTTTTTGTTCCCCTAAAACTACCATATAAAAGTAAAGTGCCTCATTAGGGCCAGGGGCGATTATTATATTTATATATATATTTGTAATTCTGCAATAATCTAAATATGTCGACTTTGCCAACTCGAATATTGCTCAATAGTTTAAAGTACTTATAATGGTATAATCCTTTACCGATAATCTGATTATAAGCATGTTAGCCCCATTCAATATATACTTTGAAGCAACATCCTTACGTTTTGAGGACTTTGTGAATACATCTTAAATGGACCCAGTTAATTGGATGATGACATGGTTTTAGAAATCATAGAGAACTGACAAATCTATCAAAGTAGAAAAAGAAAACCTCTTGCCAAAATTAGGGCCAGGAGCTTAATGAAATGAAGTTCATGCAAACTATGGAGCAAGAACAAGAAGAGATACAAAGACTTGGCACCAGGGTCAGCAGCAGCAGTTTCTTCTCTTGTATTGACTTTATCAGCTAGCTATGGTGTCTGTGGGTTATCAAAGTCCCTCGAATATTGGGCTATCGACTGCCACGCCCATGGCGTTCAAACCGTTGTCCACATAGATAACAGAGCCAGTTATGGCAGAAGCTAGAGGTGATGCCAAGAAGGCAGCTGCATTCCCCACCTCCTCTGTTGAACCAGTTTTGGAGATCAAGATTTGGTAAAAACAACGTTAGAATAAAATGAATGATGCAGAAGAGAAAGAAGAAACTACCTGCAGATAATTCTTTCTGCAGAGGTGCATTTGCTAGTGAGTAGTCTATCATCATATCAATGAATCCGATTGCTTTTGCTGCACGGCTTCTTAGTGGACCTGAGGATTGAGAGCTTAGATTCTTAACTCTAAAGATAAACTGCAGTTTCCCTAATTGACTCATTGAAGCTGATAAGAAACTCTCAATATTGACTTAGTGGCCTTGAAGATGTCAAATTCGAACAAAAAAATGATAGTTAAATTACCAGCAGAGATGGTGTTGACTCTGATTTTATTTTTTCTACCTGCCTCGAAAGCAAGCACCTGATATGACAGAAATTAAGAATGCCATCAGGAAAAGTAAAAGGAAGAGGAGAAATAAAGCAAAGTACAGCATCTCACTCGTGTATCACTCTCCAGTGCAGCTTTTGCTGAACTCATACCTCCACCATATCTGATCATTTACAAATTACAATTCAAGTTGTCACCTCATGAGAAGGGAGATGTAGAGCAACAACGTGTTAAATACACATACCCCGGAATGATCCTTTCAGAAGCAATGTACGTAAGAGAGATCGAAGAACCGCCTTTAATATCAGGAATCAAAATTTAGCACAAGACATGCCCTTCCAGCCAAAAGCTTCCATAGTTCATGAAAGGAAAAAAGACAAGCAATGAAGAATGGACTAGAGAACATGCCTGGATTCATTATTGGAATGAAATGCTTAAGAAGAGAAATGTAGGAGTAACTTGAAGCAGATAAAGCCGCTAGGTAACCTTTCCTGGATGTCTCTAAGAGAGGTTTACTCACCTGTTGAAAATGAAATCTTTTATTATGAAGATACCAAATGGTGGTATAGTTAAGTGAATTAAAGAAATTGCATACCTCTGGCCCATTTGCAAGTGAGTGCACAAGGATGTCAATGGTCCCAAAATCCTTCTTCACTGATTCTGCTACTTCCTGAAGAGTCAAGAAAAAAAAGGAAAAAAAAAAAAACTCACTAGGTAGGATATATTTAGTCTTATTTATTATTATTATTATTTTAATAAATGTGGGGGCGGGGGATCGAACTCACAACCTCTTCGTTGGAGATATATGCTAATTAACGCTGAGCTATGCTCGCCTTGGCATATATTTAGTCTTATTAGTCCTCCTCGCATCCGTTAAAGTGATTATTAATATTAGGTGGGGAGGAAAAAAACGTTACATTATTTTGGCTATAGAATCTCCCAACTCTAATACTATCCAATACTACTATTAAATCGAAAAGCCTAAATTGAGAAAACTTTGAGAACTGAACTCAATTGTACAAAGTGAAAATTAGGGGTCTGTTTGGTTACGTTTTCATTTTCAATTTTTGATAAACATAAACGATAGGTAACTATTTTGTTTCACGTTTTTCATTTTTAAAAAATAATTTCAAAATTGTGTAGAAAATTTAGAAACAACACAATCAAGTTTCTTGTTATTGTATCCAGTTTTTTTTCCCTCTTCAAAATAAAAAGTATTATTTTATCATTTTTGACTTATAAAATACATAATATATATGACATACAAATTTTTAAATTTTAATGTTCATTTAAAGCTTTTATTTTTTTAATTTAAAATTTTAGAGAACAAGAAATAAGAAATGGTTAACAAATTTTCTCAAAAAAAGAAAAAGAAAAAAAAATGAAATGGCTAACAAACATGTTCTTGTTTATTTTTTCAATAAAAAAACAAGAAATAAGAAACAGAAAAAGAATGCTACCAAACGGTCCCTAAAGTGCCCCGTACATATATTAAATAGAAGTGGTTACTTTGAAAGAATGATACTTGTGCAAGGGAAGTTCAGTACCTGAACTGTCCAATTAGTGGAACCTGCATACCGCTTATTTGTTTTTATCTGCAAGAAATGAAATCAACTCATGCACGGGTTCTTTTGGAATGTTAAAAAACAACACCAATTCTCTGGCTTACATCTTCAGGAACATCCTCAGGATTGTCAAAAACTGCATCAAGAGGATACATTTTGGTGATCTCCATTAAAGATCCGTCTGGCAATCTGAAACATCAAATTCTCAGTAGCAGAAGAAACTACAATCAAGTTCTACTCAGGATTTAATATGGTCATGACATCTTACATTCGAGATTCATCGAACTTTCCACGTCGCAAGCTGGATTCAAAGATGTTTAAAGCCTAGATAAGATTACTCCAAACTCTTAATGACCAATCTTACAAAAACAGATAAAACATCTTCAAATATAAAGATAAAAATTTCTCTGAGATTATACTTACAGGCACCCACGTACCGACAATGATTTCAGCCCCGGCAGCAGCAAGGGACTTTGCTATTGCCCAACCATAGCCATTGTCATCAGCTACACCAGCAATAAATGCCCGCTTACCTTAACAGATATCCTAATTTTAGCAAAAATTGCTGATCTTTAATCTTCAAACAAAATATCAGCCACTTATGTTAAGAAGTTATTTAGAGAATTAAACTAATCAGCATCAGAAGTAGAAGGTTATGAACTCAAATTCCTATATGTTCATCTTCTTAGTTTCGGAAGGAATTGTTCAGGAGTAAGGTCTCTTTAGTGAAGTAAAAATTTGAGCCCTCATGTAAGGAGAATTCTAAGAAATAACTTCAATAATTGAATTGGTGGTATTTTAACAATCTAAACAAGAATGTTACTGAAGTTTTACATTGATGTATGCAATCAAGTATAGCATAAATGATGACACGACATGATTTATTAAAAGCAATCAAGCAAGAAGAAAATATAAAACAGAGAGATCCCCCAATCTGTTTTTTCAAAATAAGAGGAACTGTTAAGAGTAAAAATACATTAATGTGTAAAAGAAATCTACAAACCTAAAGTCAAACTAAGAAACATGTGCATATTGACGGAACAAAATTTGAGCCAATAAAAGGAGGAACTTTAAAACTGAAGGGATAACCTTTTAAATCAATCGGCAGCCCAAAGACTGGTTTGTCTTCACTAGATCCAGACACGGCTCTAGTTGAAATCTTTTCAAATTTTGTAGAAGATAGAGTGGTGGAATTCAGCTGAAAGTGTTCCAAAGAGGATATATTGTGGACACTTCTAAGTGTAGCCCATGGTATTGCCTTTGAATTGCCACCAAGAACTGGTGGAAAAACAACCTTGACACTTCTTGGAGTGGAGAATTTGCAAGTTCTCAGTGTAGTAATCTGAATATTGGTGGCTGCTGTTGTCGACATATTTCAGAATCAATTGTTTTGCTGCGAAGATTAGCAATCTATAAATAAAAAATCCATAACTCCAAAACTCGGCCAATTAAGCTGAAAATGTAAGCCTAGAAACTATTCACTCTCATCACACGGACATATTTACAAACATCTAAAGAACAAAAAGTAACTCTTAAGCACTCACTTCGGTAACCGACCAATGTACGAAAAATTCATCAGGACAAATGATTTCAGATTCCGAGAACATCGAAGAACATGCAGGATTCAAGAGATTCAAATCCTTAGGCGCAGTGAGATTACGGCACATATATACACATTTTCCAGGAATATCAGAGAAAAAATAGCAGAAACGATCGAATAACATGCAGGATTCAAGAGATTTAACTCCGTAGGCGCAATGAATGAGATAACGACATAATTTACACATTTTCCAGGAAGATCAGGGAGAAATAACAGCAGAAGAATTTTTACATTGGTCGCGACGGAGGGCGGCAATGGAGATCACAACATGATCAATCGGCAGTTTGTTGATTGGGTTTTGAAGAGTGATCAAGGGAAGTAATATAGTGAAAACTAGAGAGCGTGTGGATGAAAGCGAAGAATTAATGGGTTTGTAGAGGTTGAGAGGAAGCTTCGAAAATGTCGAAAAGGGTCGTTGAGACACAGCGGATTACGAGAGAGAGAGAGAGAGAATTGATGAAGCAGTTGGGTTACAGTTGGAGAGAAGAGCCATGTTGGTAATGGTAGCTCAGCTGCTTTCACAAAAAAATTTTTGGCCATTGGAGAAGAAAGAGTTTTTGTTTTTTTGTTCTTTTTTGCCTTCTCTCTTTTTCTACTTCACATGATTACGGATTTCGAATCATCGACCTTTGAGATAGTAGTACATTCTTGCTCGGTGGTACATTTTCTAACGTAACTTCCCTCTTGAATTCCTACATGGTCCTAGTCTAGAGCATATAGACAAATATATATTTTTTTAATTTTGTATAATTTCTGAGTGATCCACCTGTCTATATGCTAAATCTTAATGAAGGAAGTTTTTTCCATTTTTTATCAACTAATTTTTCCTTAATACAACGTATAATCGAAAGTGGGGATCCGAACTCATGATATTTAGATTAGAGATTTAAGTTGAGGATTACTTTCAACCTAAACTAATTGAACTATGTTCACATTTGCATTACTTAAAATTTAAGTAATTAGTAGGATCCATTTAGCTATTAAATACAATATAAATATATTAATACAAAAAAATTTAGTACTATTGATRAATGAGTATTTCCTAGCCCTCCATCATGTTTTCGACAATTTTTCATTTTTCTAAAAAATATATAGCTGTCAATTTTTTTTTTCTATTGGCCACTTTATACCGATCAGTGTGCATGTAAGTATTGTTCATTTATATGGAAAATTTTGTTCCACATTACTTGCCTATTCATCGGCTAGTAAAAGCTCATACTCATGGTCATGGCGTATTTTTATGGGTCAATTTCTATAACATTTATAAATTAAGTATATCACTAAAATAGTTTAGTCAATAAAAATAAAATATACCACATTAAAAAGCATTATAGTTCTTTTATTTCTGTTTGTTTATATTCTAGTATGGTCCCATGACTTTGAAGATATCTATTTTAGCTTTCGAAGTTTTACATTCGGTATATTTTGGTCCCTTCACGTTCAAAGTGACTATTTTGTGGTTCATGAACTTTTAATAAAAGTAACTATCTTAGACAGTTAGACCTCACCGTTTTTTACTTTCAACGACGAATACTGTGGATTTAAGTATATATATCAATATGTTGGATTTGACACATATTTGAGCCACATAAGTTGGTTCAAACGAACATTAAAGGGACTAGAGGGAGAGGGTAGGTATTTGGGAAATTGACACATATGACCTAAAAAGTTTCAGGTTTTGTCCAAATGATCTAACATCAGAAATTTTACTTTTTTTGATTTAAGAGAAGTTTGTCTATACCTTAGAACCTGTGAAAAGACGAGATTGTCCCTAATTTATATGAAAAAGTTCAAATTTTTGGATATCAAAGTAACGATAAAACTCGACCTAGATTGCAGCCAACTCGATCGAGTTTTTAAATGATTTTGACCAACCCCAATTATTATCACCAACTTTTCATTATTTTAAAGGAGGTTAGTTTGTTATTTGTTTTGAGTATCAGTTGCATTTTTTAAGTTGAAAGAGATTCTAAACTAGACCGATAGCATAAATTTTAACTTTTTACTTCAGTTTTGTTAAATGTCGGGTGATTTGCATATCAAACTCGACGGAGTCGCTTAAACCCAGTCGAGTTTTATAAATCCCAACCGAGACATTTTTTCGAAGTCCGTTACATATGAAACTCGAGGGAGTTCTTAAACTCGAGGGAGTTGCTTAGGAACCCAGTCGAGTTTTGTAAATTTTCAAAATTCTAGTCGAGATTTTGTATAACTAGTCGAGAAATTTTTCCGAATTCAATTAACTATCTGTTTTTTGTTTACTCTCATTGCAGAATGTGTCGCCTATTTGTAATCTACGATGGTAAATGAGGTACGAACTGTTTATGAAGGTGGTGTTATGGGAGGTTTAGACGTCGACGAAATGATAACATATGACGACCTAGTAAATGCATTGTACACGCTTAGAGAATTGATCCTAATTAATTCAATATTGTTATAGAATGCATATATAAATTTCAAATCCAAATTGAATCCTAATTTGAAATCCCCTAAATTAAATTGAACCCTAGACTGAAATCCCGTGGAAACTTCCTCGAGTTTTGGCACCTATTTTTTGCCAACAAACTTAAAGAACTCGAGAGGGATTCAATGAAAAACTCGACTGGGATTCAAAGAAAAACCCAGATTTTAGTTCACAAATCCAAAAACTACTTTTTTTTTTTTTTTACAAATGTAACACAAACACTCAGAAACAACCGAAAACAACAACTCGTTTAATACCCCACATAAAATCGCCATAAAAAATGTGAGATACTACCTCTGTCATTGCCAAAAAACCCAAGATTCGTGGGAAAAAAATGTTGAAACGTGTGAGATACTAACCTTTTAGTATGCGCTTTAGATTTTAGACGAGTTTCACACGGACAAATGATGAAGTATGGAACAAGAAAAAAACTTGATGGAAAACTCGACGAAGAAAAAAGGAAGAAGGAAAGACGAAAGTAGAGAGAAGACGAAAGTGGAAATGAAAGAAGAGGGACGACGAAAGGGAGGAAGAGCAACGGTTAATTCTAAAATGAGGGGTAAGTTTGTCATTTTACATTATTTGATTTATATTAAAATAATAAATTGGGTTGAAAAAGTGAAATTTTTAATTTTGGATCATTGTGGCAAATTGAAAACTTAATTAGGTTAGATATGTCGATTTCCCCTAATATTGAGTGAAAACCAACAACAACCATAATGACAATTTTTTTTTATATAAAAAGTTTAATAAATATTCAATCATTCTAAAAAAAAATCCTCATATTTATTCGAAAAATATATTGATAAAATATTTTCGTTTATTTTTTTTTTATTGTTTATTGTTTCTTATTTTCATTTTTTTTTACCAACATAAACGTTTTTCTTGTTTCTCATTCTTAAATGAAGTTAATTTTTGGAATCAATAAAATTAGGTTTTTTGTTTCTATTTTTTTCCCTTCAAAACACAGATTATAAAAAGCAGTATTTTATCATTTTATTTTAAAAATAAACCTAAGTTAAAAGACTTGTCTTTCAATATTAGGGAACATCTTTATTTCTTAAAGAATGAAACACAAGAATGAAATACATGATTATTTTGTGGAGCACAAAAAATAGTACATTTAGACTTAAAACATAAGAATCTTCAAAATTATGGAATGAATAAATGGAAAAACTGGTTATCACTATGACCTATATCCGATTAAATGGTCCAAATTACTACCACAAAAATAGTAAAATAGAGTACATCATATGGCAAAAAATAAAGCCTAATAAATAGCAAAAAGTAAATATGACATAAAAATTTTGAAGGGTTAATTTGAATAATTAAATTTGATATAAAATTTACTTTTTAATACAAAATTTTAGAGAATAAGAGACTAGAAATAGTTAATAAATATGTTTTCGTTTCCTCTTCGATAATAATAATAAATAATAAAAAACAAAAAATAATTACCAACTTAACGTAGTCCTATTTTCCTTGATTGAAAAAAAAAAAACAAGAAAACAAGAAAAGGGAAATAAAAAATAAGAAACAAAAATCAGAAACTTTTCCACATAAGCGGATAAAAATCTACATTAAATCCCACGACATAGAAAATGAATAAATCAATTTTTTTAATACAATATTTCAAATTACTATTAATGGATAAAATACATGGTAGTGTACAAATATTAATAAGTTATATAGTCTTAAAAGTTTTCACAATCAAAGAATAATCAAAGAATTATCAGGGTATATAATCTAGATTATGTTTTTTTTAACAGATTCATTCCATCAAAATAAAATGGATTAAGTGAATATATCTTTGACAGACTTTTTTTCAAAAAAAAAAAAATTATTATGTCAGTGAAAATTCTCAAAACAATATTTTTTTATGTTTTAAATGTTTTCAAATTCTGAATTTGAAAATTTTAAAAACCAAAATTAGATAAATATATTATACCATGCTATAAATTATTTTCGTTCTTATTAAAACTAAAAAAATACAAAACATAATTATATTATGAAATATATAATTATGCAAAAATTTATAATATACATGTTAATAAATCAATTAATATTATGATAGATTTAACTAAATATTTAGTTAGTAAATATCATTAGTTTATAAATATATTACTAAAATATCTTGAATAACGTTTTAAACTAATTTTTAAATTAATCGGAATGAGAATGTTATTGTTTTTATGTTGTTTAGCAGAAATTTGATGGAGTCGAAATCAGAATTTCTTTGATTTGTTTACTTGACAATTTATTTAATACTAATGAATAATGAATAATTAAACAAAATTCATCGATTAAAATATTTTTTTTATTAAAACAACCCTCATTTTACATAAAGTATGAGTCAATCATTAAGTTTTATTTCTAATATTTAATAATAATGAGTTATATTTTAAAAATTTTATTGATATTAATTAATAATAATAAAGTAAAATTAAATATTAAATATTAAATACAAATTTATAATATTTTATAATAAAATCACATCCACTAATAAGAGTGGTATAAATTTTTTATCAGAAAAAAGTTAATTATTAATAGTGTAAATAAAAAATAAATAATAAAAATATAAAACAATTAATTAAAAAAGTCATGGATCTTGTTAATACATGAGAGAAAAAAGTAATTGCAATAAATACGTAATAAAAAATTAAGAATGATATTGATGAAGGCCTATAAGAGAAATAAGATTATCAAATTTGAGTCCCACCACTTGACTTCATTCCTATAATTTGGTAAACGTCATCATGGAAAAGTTCATTCCAACATGACCTTAATTAATGTGCAATATTATGTTTGCATTATTTACTATTCTTCTCTCAAACGAAGCACTACCAAGTCTCCCTCAAATAATTATCCATTAATCAACTCTTAGGCACTTGGAGGGTATGCTCTATCCAATTAGAATCATTTTCTCTAAAGCACATTGCATGTCTTAATAGAGCTTAACGACAAATCACGGTATAGGATAATTGATGGTGACCATCTTAAACAATCTTCCATTCAAGTGATGATCTGTCAAGCCTCTCTTCAACAATCTTGTTATCGAARCATGTTACCACGAATTTACAAATCCCATTGCTGAGATTTGCTGATGACTTTCTATTTAACATATGAGAATCCTTCCACAATTCATAATGATTATGCTTCTCAAACTGATCACCAATTTTTTTAATTCAGCACCAGGAGAGCATCACTATAATATCAATTGTCACGTCCGGACAACATACTTTTCCTTATTTCCATAAGGATATAATGATATTGTCCACTGCATGTCTAATCCCGACTTTACTTTTTAGTTTCACCGAAAAGATGCAGTACTCATGAACTTCCCTCCCATTAACTTTATCTCTACCATTTCTAACCATTTGCATCCCCACGTATTTTCCACCTATGATCTACATCCTTAAAACCCTAATTTGAAGTAGCAATTCAATTTTAWTCAATCAATATGAACTCCAAATAGCCTAATTCGCTTTTCCCCAATTTTTTCCTCATTAGGGTTCATCACTCCACTGTTTAAAATCTCCTCCACCTCCTTCTTCTTCTTCCCACAGTCCTTCTCCCGATTAAGCCCTAATCCACTCTGCAATTTCTCATTCTTGTCCGCTAAGCAACTACTCTCGCTCTCACGATCCTCTGATTTCTTGTAGATCACGTCTATGAAGTTCAGTGTTACGCTTCCGCCATTTTCGTCTGATCCTCCGCCGCAGCTCTCGTATGTGTAGAACGTGATGATGTCGTTCGCCTTCAGCTTCTTCTCCTTCACGAATCGATTCCAGCCTCTGGTGAACACGAAGCTCTGGCTGCTCCTCCAGTAGCAGTATCGGAACTTCCATGTCTTCATCGCCGTGTCGTAGAACACGATTTCGATGTCGTCGCCGTTTTCGTCTGCGCTCTCGCTGATGTACGGGAAGTGTTTCACAGCGTATTTTTTAGGGATGACGAGCCGATTGAGCTTCCCGACGTCGCTCGGCGTTAATTCCTTCTGGAACAGATGGCTGCAGGAGAAATGGCCGTCGCCGTCGCCATTCTCGAAGCCGCTTCGCGGATTCTGGAAATCCGAGTCGTGAATTTGAGATTTCGTTCTCAAATAGGCGGAGAATTTCGAGGAATACGATCCGTCTTTGATCATGCTCAACACGGCGTCGGTGGAAAAATTGATTTGAAAATTCGGCTCCTCGATTGACCGGCGAGTCCAGGGGAAATTCCGGTGGGAATCTCTGGTGCGGAGCTTGATAGCGGCGCTGTCGTAAGCCATGGCGGCGTCTCTCTCCGATTTGAAGGTACCGAGCCAGATCCTCTGGTGATTGGCGTAGATCTGCGCGCCCCAGCGCCCGTTATGCTGCGGCACAACGCCTTTGAATTTGCCGACGGCGGCGAGAACGTTAAGATCGTGGACCAACCGGGGGCGCTTGGCGGCGGGCAGGGCGCAATCGGAGAAATTGGAATCCGAGGCTTCGTCGGCCGGCTGGTGAGTCTTGACATGGGAGAGCAAGCTGGAAGAAGCTTCGTCTTCCATGGCGGATGTGGGGAAATGGGGAGGAGAAATGGGATTAAAGAGGAAGAAGAAGACATTGTCGAAGAAGTTGGGGAATGGAGAGAATTTCTGTTGAAAGAAGGATTTTTTGAAAGGTGGAGAGTTTTCAGAAACTGAACTGCATTTGGTTGCTTTGAACAAACTGGTGAGTAATTAATTTAACCAAAACCATGAAAGACAACACTAGTTTTCAAAAGCAAATAAGTTGAGAAAGCAACACATTTCTTTTTTCTTTTAATCTTAAATTTGTAGTTGCACCCATATTTAATCTTAATTTAGTATGTTATTTACTGTAAACTAATTGAATTAGCTGTGTCGTCTGTTAATTAACTAGCTATGAAAAATCCAAATGAAGTGTATTTTGTTTGGATAAAATAATACTTAGTTGCTCCGCCACTATACACCTTCTATCCTTAATTCTATTCTCTGCTTGTCAAAAATTTAATTACAGTCATATATCAACGTCTAAATTATTATTATTTTTTATAACAATATTTGAATACTTACCTGAACGAAAGCATATTCAAGTTTTTTAGTTTTATGAAAAATAGAAAATTATCTCTGGTAATATATTTCTCGGTCGAAATTTAATAGTGGTTAGCACACATCTTTGTACTTTTTTAAAAAAATAGGAAAGATATATCTTTTTTGGCATTTCCCTCCCTTGATATGCAAACTGAAATTTCACTCTATGGTTATAAATTCTAATTTTTGTATCTTCAAACTTTGTCATTTTTTAAAATAATTGGTTAAATTACAAGTTTACTTAAATAAAAAAAAAAACTCATATCATCTGTCAACAAAAGTTATTTTAATTTAGCTTTAAAATGTGTTTAATAGAACCACACATTTTAATAATATATCTAATAGGGTTTTAGACTTTAAAAGGCATCTATATAGTCATTTTTTTAAAAGTTTTGGAATTTATAAATTCTTTGATTAAAGTTGAATAAACATTCATCATTGATGTACATTTATTCCTCCTAATGAAATCAAAGACCAAAGAGTAAGACAAAACAGAGTATAGCTCAGCGGTAATTAACATATACCATTTACATCTATTTTACCTAACTAATTAAATCTTATATATAGTCTTTTTTTAGTACAAAATCCTATATATAGTCTTGATTGGTGTGGAAAACACATAAAAATTACTAATTCTTAAGGTAGATTACTAATTCCTAATATAGATGTATGAGATTTAAACCCATTTCGTCTTAATTAACCTAGGCCCTTTGGACGAATGAGCCACCACGAGTGGTTAATTTAGATCTTACCTTTTTGCCACCCCAATAAATCAAGAGTTGTTTATCAAAAGTTCATCAATATATTGGACTAACTCGAGTTAACCTAACCTTAAAATTGACTACCCAAACTCTTAAGGAATAGTCTCGACAAAGCCTTAGACTATAGGTTAAACATTTATCAAACACCAAGAAAGTTAAGTCTTTTATCCAAGTCATGAACTTAGTTGGTCAAATCAAATTAACTAAGTCTTTTTATTAATCAAATCCGATTTTGAATTGACTCTTTAGAGACATAACTTATTATTAAGAGACCCACCCGAATAAATTAAAGATTCAAATAATTAAATTCAAACCAAAATATTTTTCTTAATCAAAACAATTATTGAAAATTTTAATGTCTTAAGCGGATGAATATGAAATTCATTATAGAATATAGCTTTTAATACCAAACCTTTGTAATCAATTTACATTCAAATTAAATTTCCCATTTTTAAGATTCTGTTTTCCAAAAACTATTTAAATTAATTTAAGATATTCTATTATTATTATTATTATAATATAATTTATTTTTATCCTTTATTTTCCAATAGTTAAAAAGAAATAAAAAGAAACCAAGTCAAATGGTGCTTTTTGGAGATTTCTCAGCCAATCAGTTCCTCAATTGAATCCTATTACTTAGGATCTCATCAACAACCATTTCAACATATAAATATTTAATCTCTCTCTCAACAATTCTCACTTTATTCTCTTTCTTATCTCTCCAAAATCACTTTCTAACCCTAAAAAAGGGCAGCTCCCACCATTGTTAGAGCTTAATTTTTCATGTTCTAACATTCATATAGCAGATGTTCAACAGAAGTGTTGTAAGGCAAATTTCTTCTTGACCGAATCGAATCGAATCGAGTTGGCTTTATCAGTGTGACATAAACGATCATTCTTTTACCATAAATGACAAAAGGTTTTGATGGTTCTTCTCGTATTTGGCCAAATCGACGGTTGATTTCTCGATCTGGATTATTACCTCTCGTTCGTGTCGATACTCGATCCTCGCCTTCACCGGAATCTCTCGTTACCATTCCTGAACAAGTCACTCTTGCCCTAATCAAGTTTCGTAAAAAGATCAAAATCTTGAGTTTTAACATTAGGGTGAGTTTGATAGAATTTTTAGTTCCAACATCGCATAATAAAATTGATTCACTTTTTAGATTTTTTAAGTTCTTTTAAAGTGATTTTTGAATGATTTGCAGAACTTGAAATGGATTCTGTCGATTCTGGGACAGAGGTTGCGGTGAAGGTTAGAAAAATTTACAAGACTTGAAATTTATTGATTAATTTACCAAACTTATTTTTTTAATCTAATTTTGGAGTTGTTTTTTTTTTCTCTTTTTAATTTGATCTGATTATTATTTATTTATTTTTAGATTGCTGCAGGAACTGGCTTGAAAGATGCTGAAGTAACAACCTTGGAAGAAGCAGAAGCAGAAGCAGAAGCTGTTAATGAAAACAGCAAAAACGAGGAGCAAAAAACACTTCAAAATGAGGAAAATGAGGAACCGAAAGCACTTCATAATGTGGAAAATGAGGAGCTGAAAGCACTTCATAACGAGGAAAATGAGGAGCCGAAAGCACTTCATAATGAGGAAAATGAGAAGCCGAAAGCACTTCATAATGAGGAAAATGAGGAGCCACAAGCACTTCATAACGAGGAAAATGAGGAGCCACAAGCAGTTGAAAACGAGGAAAATGAGGAGCCACAAGCAGTTCAAAACGAGGAGCAAAAACCACTTTCAAAATTTAAGGAACGACCCACAGTTGCAAAGAACAGAGGAGGATGGAAAAGTGCAAGTCTGTTATTAGGTACTGCCAAATAAATTACTTTTTTTTTTCTTTCTAATCAGCCGAGAAATTTTAGAGAGAGAAACGATTTTGTTTTTGTTTTGTTTTAAGAAACTATTATTATCCAATCAGGAATTGATTAATAACCCTCTTCTCTTTCTTAACATATATTAATTTTGTGGACAGTGAACCAAGCCCTAGCAACCCTAGCTTTCTTTGGAGTTGCAGTGAACTTAGTTCTGTTCTTAACCCGAGTTCTTGAGCAAGAGAGTGCCACCGCCGCCAATGGCGTTAGCATGTGGACTGGCACTGTCTACCTCTGCTCCCTCATCGGCGCCTTCCTCAGCGATTCTTATTGGGGCCGCTACGTCACCTGCGCCATCTTTCTACTCATTTTCGTACTTGTCAGTAACCTCCATGTTGCATTACATCTCGTTTCAATCGTTTTAGTTTTCTTTTTAGGGTAATGTGGCACAGTTATAAATTATAATTATAATATAGTTGGGAAAAAATATTTGACAACATATCGGTGAAAAGAAACACTAAAATTACTCATCTATGAAGTGGATTTCTCTACTTGTAGGTAAGTATTTGTTGCATGTTTTGATAATGATTTCGAAGGTTAATAAAGAAAGAATCAATGAATGTGGCTGCTACAATTGACAAAGTTTTATTCGATCTAGAATTGACTAATAACTCTCTTTTCGTTCATGTCTAGGGTTTGGGTCTACTCTCCTTTACCTCTGCTCTTTTCCTCCTTAAACCAGATGGCTGCGGCAACGACACCCTCAAGTGCATGCCGACGTCCTCCATCGGCATAAACATCTTCTACTTCTCGATCTACCTCATTGCCTTCGGGTACGGTGGCCACCAGCCAACGATCGCCACGTTCGGGTCTGACCAGTTCGATGAGTCGAACCCCAAGGGAGTAAAGGCGAAAGCAGACTTCTTTTGCTACTTCTACTTCGCCCTCAATGCTGGCTCGCTCTTCTCCAACACCATCCTCGTCTACTTCGAGGATACGGGAAAATGGACGCTAGGGTTTCTAGTGTCGCTGTCCTCAGCTGTTCTGGCGCTAATTTTATACTTGCTTGGGACCAACAGATACCGGTACATGAAAACGTGCGGGAATCCTCTACCGCGGGTGGCGCAAGTCTTCACGGCGGCGATTAAGAAGTGGAAGGTGGCTCCGGCGAGTGGCGATGGGCTTTATGAAGTTGAGGGGCCGCAATCTGCCATTAAAGGGAGTCGGAAGATCCTCCATAGCAGCAGCTGTCGGTACATACCCCTAATTTAATTTCAACTACTAATTTAAATCGTGTTTAATGAATAGTAAAAAAATTAGTTTTTAAAATCTTTATTTTCATTTTTTACACATTTTGAACTAAGATGAGGTATTTTACCTTATGAAAAATTTCCTCCAAAACTATAAAAATAATACCTTTTTAATTTTTTGGAACCAAGCATAGTTTAATAATTTTTAGAAAAAAAATAATAATCAAAAGGTTAAATACTAATTTTTAGGAAAAAAAAAATAATAAAAAAGGTTAAATCCTATCTTGGTCTCTTTAATTTCAATGTTGATCTGTTTTGATGCTTGTATTTATAAAACCTATATTTTAATCTTTAAATTTTTTGAAAACGCTCCTATCGATAATCCATGTACTTCTAATAAGTGATAAAATTTCTTGAGAATAGAGTGATAAACTGACGTATTTGTATTAAATATAGAATAGAATTTGGTTTTTTTTTTTTTAAATAGAGACTAAAAAACGAACCAATTTCAAAATTACAAATGTTTTGAAAATATAAGAATTAAATTTTCCAATTCCTTCAATTCTTGGTCGTAAATGGGCGTGGAACAGGTTTCTGGACAAGGCGGCGACGATTACAGAGGAAGACATTGAAGGATCGAAGGATCCATGGAGTTTGTGCACAGTAACGCAGGTCGAAGAAGCCAAATGCCTCATCAGAATGCTCCCGATTTGGTTCTGCACAATCATGTACTCCGTCGTCTTCGCCCAAATGGCCTCTCTCTTCGTCGAACAGGGCGACGTCATGAACACC